CGACTTCTTGCGATCGGACCTCTTCACGCCACCTTTCATCCGCGGTGACGCCTCAGACAGCCAAGCTCCTTGGCTCACTTCAATATACGATCCGGACACTTTTCTGCCTCACACTCGCCGCCCTAGCGTTTGCCTATCTCTGGACCCTTCCGCTTCAGCTACTTTCAGGCGACAACATGTCGGTGCTCAAGACGCTCATCATCAACCCACGCTCGGGCGTCAAGCCCACAGCCACGCTATTTTTCATGCACGGACTGGGCGACTCGAGCGCAGGCTGGTCCGATGTGGCACAGATGCTCTCGCAGCGCCCCTCGCTCTCGCATGTGCGCTTCGTGCTGCCCAATGCGCCCATCCAGCCCGTCACGCTCAACATGGGCATGCCCATGCCTTCGTGGTTCGATAGTAGGTCGTCATATTCTTGTGTGTGGCCCAGCTACGCCCCTGCTTCCCTCTGCACAGCTCGCATTCGAGCATTTGCTGACCTCCGCCTTCGCTTTCTCCCCTGACAGTCTTGGCGCTTGACGACCTCTCTGGAGCGGAAGACGAGGCGGGTCTGCTCAAGTCGACAGACGAGATCAAGAAGCTCATCAAGGCCGAGAACGACGGCTCTGCACAGGGACTTGACGGCCACCAAATCCCCAGCGAACGCATTGTCGTGGGCGGCTTCAGCCAGGGCGGCGCCATCGCTCTGCTCACCGGCCTCACCAACCAGAACGCCGTCGCGGGTGTCGCGGCTCTGTCGACCTGGCTGCCCCTCCGTGCAAAGATCGCCGCGCTCCGAGCACCCACCTCGAAGAACCTCAAGGTGTTCCAGGCGCACGGTGACGCCGATCAGGTCGTCAAGTACGAGTACGGCCAGCGCACCGTGTCGTTCCTTAAGAACGATCTCGGCCTGGCGGAAGAGGACGTCGAGTTCCGCACCTACCCGCGCATGCCGCACTCGGCATGCCCCGAAGAGATCCGCGATCTGGCCGCTTTCCTCGAGAAGGCCATTCCGGCTCAGTAGCTTGCATCCGCTGCGTACGGCATGTTGAGAGGATCGATGAATGTACAGTAAAATCTGATAATAGAACACAATACAGCCGAAACATACTCGCTAGGGCTGTGCGAAAGGCGCTAGGGCCGAGGGCCGGTCTTGGGGGAAGCTCGCTCACGGCTGGAGAGTCAGGCGCCATCGATGGTGATGACGATCTTTCCGATGTTTTTGTTGGCCTCCATCTCGTCGTGGGCCTCCTTGATGTCGTTCCAGGAGTAGACCTTGTGGATGATGAGCTTGCTGTGGTGCTTGCCGGTGTTGTCGGGGCGAGCGCCGGCGATGAGGCGTTCGAGGCCGTTCTCCTTAACAAAGCCTTGGACGAGCTCGCTCTGGTACTCGAGGCTGCGAGAGCGAAGGGCGGAGCCTTCGACCCTGAGGCGCTTGAAGAGGAGCTGGGCTAGCACGATCTCCTTGACCTTGGCGCCGCCCATGAAGGCGAGCAGGACCATGCGGCCGTCGCGCTTGAGGCTGTTGAGGTTGTTGGTAAAGTAAGGCGCGCCGACAAAGTCGACAATCACGTCAACGGAGCCCGCAGGGCCCTGAGCTCCCGTGTGCTTTGCAAGCTCCTCGGCCCAGTCGCCCGCCTTGTAGTTGAAGCCCTTGTCGGCACCGATGTCCTCACAAATTTCGATCTTCTCCTGCGAGCCGGCAGTGACGTAGATCTTGTTGGCTCCAAACGCACGTGCCAGCTGGATGGCAGCAAGGCCGACACCTGACGCGCCAGCATGGATGAGGACGTCCTCGCCCTGCTTCAGCTCGCAAATGGTGCGCAGTGCCTGGAAGGCGGTGAGGTAGTTTTCCGGGATTGCGGCTGCCTTGACCCAGTCGAGCTCGCTGGGCTTTTCGAGGATCATGCGAGCGGGCACCTTGATGTACTCTGCATACGCGCCGCCGACGGCGAGACCAAACACCTCCTGGCCAACCTTCCATTGCACATCCTTGAGGTTCTTGGTGGCGACGACGTGTCCTGAGAATTCGACACCCATGATCTGTGGAGCGTGCGGAGGGAGCGGGTAGTTGCCCTCGCGCTGCATGATGTCCATTCGGTTGAGTCCAAAGGCTTTGATCTTGACGAGCACCTCATCATCGCCGAGCTCAGGTACGGGCGCTTCGCCCAGATACAGGTTCGAGGAGGGACCCTTGCCGTCCTTGACCAGGATGGCCTTCATTTTCGAAGGTACATCGGTTGACATGGCTCTAGTCTGACCTGTTGATACGGTCGCCCTGAATGACTCGATGGAAGAGACGGCGCTAGGACGATTCTTGCGTGCAATGTGTTGCTGCGAGGAAGCGATTGCGGTTTGAGAGAAGGGACGCGAAGGAACGAGCGTGAGGGACGCAATGGGCTTTGAGAGACGGAAGAAGTTGAGCGAGCTTGAAAGTCTGGGATAAAGACGAGCGGCAGCAGACATGCTGCGAGTTGCAGTGAGCGGTAGCGATGGATCGAATATCAAACCGGCAATGCTTCGAATCTCCGAGCTGGATAGCCGCGTTCGACAGAGTCAGAGTACTGACTCAATTTTGCGTTGCGGTAAGGGCAAACGAATGCAAGTGAGGTTTGGGAGCCGATCACGAACGGAAGGCGGAGGAAACGAAACGAGATGCCGGATGCCGGGTCACTCAGCCTCGTCCGGCGGCTACCATTCTCGACGCGCACGGACTTTAGGCCTCCACACGCAGGATTAGGTTTTTTTCCTCGCTACATTTGTGCGGGACAGGGATCGAACATCTTTGTACGTGCTCTAACAGTCTCGAGATTTTAGCACGAGCTCAGCAAGAGATGGCGTTTTGCGTGGTTGGCGAGCTGGAGTAAGTTATGGCATGAGGCACGGTGATGAAGCTAACTGCTGGATGCGGTCAGTATGCGGTAAGTATGCGGCTACTTGACCGGCAGGAGCTGAGAATCGACGAAACACTTGTGGCTCGAATCTGTTTACAGATGCTCGACAGGCATGTGACTTAGCCGTTCAGACGTCGTGGCGCCCCAGGAGACCAACATAGAGTACATTGGGTCGGAAGTGCAAGGAAATGTGGTAATTATCGTACGATGTTGGAGTCACGCTCACAGTCGCCACGACGAAAGAAGATACAACGAACGACAGCTGATCGTGGAGGACCGTGAATGGAGGAGCCGCCCGGATGCGCAAACGGGCTGGTGGAGCCGAGCGAGTTGCGGCGCCTTGGTCTGATACGAGCGAGCCACAGCCGCCTGTCAAGACCCGCGGGTGCTGCTCAACTCCGCGAGAGTTTGCGACGCTGCGGAGTGCATTGATTGATTGGGACTCAGGGTTCGCAACGCATCGAGTCGCGAGCTGAGCGGGGTCAAGATTTATTTGAAAGCACGACGCTCCGCCGCGGGCAACGATCTACATTGCTCAATTTGTCCGCTCGCTGGCAGGTGCGGCGGCAGCAGCAGAAGCAGCAGCAGCAACGCTCAAACAACAATGCAAGCCGCTCGAGGTCCGATGTGTGTTTGTTGGCAGCTCCAGCCAGATTTAGACGTCTTTTGCGTCACGATTCCTTCGTAACTAAGTGAGCGAGAACCCTGGCAAAGGCAGCTGTTTGTGCCACACGCCGCGGGCAACAAATGCATCCTCTCAATGGAGCCATCGAGCATGCAACGATGTTCGCAATAAATCATGGAACCGCCTCGACAATGGCAAGAGTCACACATGGGTGCGAGTTGTACCAGCCTCGGCTTCCTTACGCGGCTGGATGATCAGCCGCCCAAATCAGGCACGCGCACGCCAAGGAAATGCAGGCACGTCCTGTCAGACGCTTCGCGAGGAAGCGGATGGAAAAGCTGGTCCGCAAGCGAGAGCTGCACGTTGCGCGTATCTCCAGCTTTCCGCGCGCCCACGGTGTCAAACCGCAGCTCGCTTATGCTGAAATTTCGTTTGACCGACGCTCTCCGCACGGCCAACTTGTGCGAGCAAGCGTATCACTAACGGTGCCACGTCGTTGACCGTTGTATTGCAAACACTGCGACACTAAGGATGAGAGGGCTAGCCGCATGCTTCGGATGCAAGCCCGGAAGCGTTGGCGGCACCCTCGTTGCCGCCTTACTAGATGGCTCGGCTGGAGATGGAGGCGTGATCCCGAACCAACAGCGTCGGCGTGCTGAAGTGAAGACCCGAGTCTGGACCGTCTTGGCGATTCAAAGTTGGGCAAGAAGAAGTGCATGCGAAGTGCCCTCGGTTGCAGGCAGGGATAGGCGGAAGAAGCTCGCTCAGCTGATATGAGCGCGTGATGTAGAAGCCACATCCACCCGCTTTCGGGCAGCCGCAAGCGTGGAGCTCTAATTCTCGGATGTCGGGCGATTTGCGCGCAGGCAGACGAGCCCAGGAGCAGGCTCCAGCTTTGTAGACGAAGGATGTTTGACACTTGACACTCCGCCATACAGCTGAGGGCGGCGCGTCCAGACCAACTCGCAACCATGGACCACGCGGGCACGCCGAACAATTTTCCGCATCGAGGTTGAGCGACGGAAAAAAAGGGGCAGGAGGGCGTGCAGCGCACTGACACGCGAGGTGCTGAGAGAGCGCGAAATTTCAACTTGGACGTCGGGCTGCCGTGTGCTGTGGCTGGAGTTTGGCATTCTGAGTCCAAACTCAGAAGCGAGAGGACGGGCGTGGGTTTTCCACTCGACTCTCCGTTCCGTGATTTCGTGCGGGGCTGCTGCGTTGGTGTTTGCAGCTGAAAATTCGGCGGCTGCACACGGCGGCAAAGCGCTCGCAGTCCGGCTTCCACTTGAAACATGGCGGCTCACCTTTGCCTAGCGCCATCTGTTGCCGATCCTTTGTCAAGCGGCTATGGCCGCCTCGAACTCCAGTGCGCTCGAATCCCTTGGTCCAGACCGGGGTTTCAGACGTGCAGCCCGTCATCACCACCACCACCGGCCCGCGGCTCGTGCGCTGAGCCTATCGCACATCCACATCTCGAGTGAGCAGCCTGTCCGCTCCGAATGCCACCAGGCAACCTCGTCCGGCGCTTGGTCCGCAACAAGCTGGCCTCGGTAGCCGCCCTCCGCGTCGGCTGGAATTGTCTCACCACCAATGACTTGGCACTCTCTCCGCTCCAAGACCTTTCAATGGCTGCAGGACCCCAGGTCAGTTTGCCGATTCTATTGTGTAGCTACGACTGTATGCAGAGCGTCGCCGCCGCCGCCGCCGCCCCTCGGCTGTCGCCTTTGAGTTCGGAGCCCGATGCTCCTTCCCTGGCTAGTCTTGGCTCCACAATGGCTTACCTCCGCCAGAGACATGTGTTTCACTAATTGGCAGGCCGCCGTCCACTCGCCTGCTTCCCCCGTAGCTGCAGTCCGCAGCCTTTCATCCGTTTGACATCCGCCCCGCCGCACCAAGCGCATGCAGCTCTGCGTGCCTCCTCAGCCCTTGGGACGGAGCGCAGAGCACATTCGTGCATACTCCAGCTGCCGGCCCCCAGCCCGCGCTTATGCTGACCGCCTTCGTCTCTGGATCCGGTTGATCGACAGTGGATGCTGCATTCTCTGTTCCTCCGGAGCCCTTCTCCTTCATCTGAGTCAAGGTGCGTTGATTGTGTCAGACATCGGATGTCCACTACGCTCCGACATTGTTCTCGACCTGTTTTCCCGCCTGCGCCTGACCCGTCGGCCTTTGTGTCCACCGAATCCTCGCTGGTTCTATATAACCCTCTCACGCTTGTCATTGGCATCGACGTGCCTCTCCCCCACATATCCCTCATTCCATACCACCGACCCTCGTCGCTCCGTCTGTACTCTTGTAGCAGCTGATCTCGCCAGCCTAGAGTCGCTCTGCTTCTCCAGTATGTCGAGTTCGTCGCTGCTCTTCTCCACCTTGACGCCAGCCTCGCCGTCCACGTCCAGCTTCACCTCATCCTCGCGTAGCCGACCCGAATATCGCAGGTCGTCCACCTTCTCGGGCGCCTCGATCTACTCGCGCGACAGCTGGTGCTCCAACGCCGAATCCGACATCTCCGTCTCCTCCACAACACAGGGCCACATCTCGCACGAACAAAAGGCTTTCGAGCAGGTTGTCCTCGCCAGCATCGCCACCAACGCCATCTTCGGATCCACCTCGCCCCGCAAGAATCGCTCAGCAGGCATGCGCACCTCCATCGACTCGGCACGTTCCTGGACCTCATCTGGCTCCTCGGTTCGTTCGCCTCTCACTCCCGAGGCCCCGCTCTCTGCGCTCCGCGAGGACGAGGTGACTAAGACGCCCATGCTCGCCACCATCGCACTGCCACCAGTCGACGAGATGCCCAAGCGCAGGCGCCCTCAGCTCTCGAGGATCGTCTCGGACGAGGTTCAGTACATTGGTCGATCGCTCGACGTGCCCGTGTCCGAGGACGGTCACGCGGAACGCTCGGTGTGCATCCAACGCTCCGCGTCCACTACCTCTTCGGCATCGCGTAACTCGAATCGCTACTTGCGCTTCAGCCAGGCAGGCGGCAAGGACGATCTCAAGCTCGCCATGGACGAGCTCGAGCAAGAGCTTGCACGCACCATGGCAACACTCTCGGCATCCAACTCGCCCGCTTCTACCGTCTCGGTCAGGTCCAGGTCCAAGGCGCAGAGGAGGCCTCACACTGCAGACAAGGTCATGGCCGTTGGATCCGCCAAGGCTTATCCCACCGGCCTCGCTCAGGTGGCCGTGGGTTCGAGTGCATCGATGCCATCGCGATCACGATTCCAACGCGAGTCGTGGATGTCATCGAGCAGCATCGCTCACGAGGGCGAGGCGATCTTCTTTACCAATCCCATCCGCTTCTCTGCGTCCGACCTCACGCTGCTCGCCGAGGGAGCGGAAGCTTCGAGGCGCTCGAGCGTCATGAGCATCCAGGACGAGTGCGAGCGCCCGATCTCGACGGCTTCGAGCTACTCGAGCCTCGCATTGCGAAGTGCGCTCGACGACGCTGGTGTGCCCGCGCTTGTGTTTGATGGACGTCACTCGGGCTCGTCCACCGGCTCGTCCGTGGGTTCGTTCCAGGACGCTTCGAGCAGGCCGGGCAGTCTGGTGGTTGTGCCGCCCGTGCGCACGTCGAGCAAGCGTCGTCCAGGCACGGCACGCGCAGAGACCGCTGCCGGGGGTATCCCCAGGGCCGGGCTGTACCAGCTCGGCAAGGCATCGCGCTCGACACCCTCGCTGGTGTCGAGGCCGCCGCACGAGCCGCTTCCACCGCTCCCGAGTCTGCCTGCTGGTCTCAGCCAGCTGCTGGCCAGTGCACCCGCACCGCCGCCGCGACCCACCAAGTCGCTCGCTCGAACCCCCACTTCGAGCCACCGCAACAGTCCAGTGCCCTGGACTGACAAGGCTCTGCCACGCATTCCGTGCTAATCTCGTCCCCGATACCACGCTTTTCTCTGCATTGACATGTTTCCCGCATCCCCGGTCTTTTGGGCCTGTCATAGTACTGCTTATCTCTAATCGTCCTCTGTAGATGACTCTAATACCAGTCAGTAGCCGGAAAGGCCAATTTCCTTTCAAGTTCACGCGTGATTACAAAAAGTTGGGATGAGGGTTTAGGTTGAGGATGGCGATAGAGGTTACGCGAGTCATGGTCGTGGGAGAGACGCCCTGAGCGGGCGGCGCAGATGAACTGGTTCCTGCGTGGATCACTGTCCGCAACCGACGGAATGCAGACGAAGAATAGACTTCCAACTCCGCACTGCGGAACTCTCACCCGCGATGGCCGGCGTCCTCACCTCGCTTCGCACACACCCGAGCGTTGCAGCTGTACATGAATGAATTGAGTCTACTTTGGTGGATGCGACGAGTCGAGCTGGTGGATGAGCACTTTACCTGGTCGCTCCAGGCCCGGCCGCAGACCGTTGTAATACATGAAGATGGACTGTGAGACGAAAGCGTGAAATGTGAGCTCAATCTGGCGCCGTGAGCTTGTCAAACGCGGAGCTGGACTTACCATCAAAGAGCGAGGCCGTGTAGTTCCTGTGATGACATGGAGAAGAGAGGGCGACACGGGCGTCAGCATCGAGTTGCCTGCTCTCAGATCCGACAGATCTACAAGCAAGCGGTTGTAACAACGCGGCCGTCAGGGCGGAAGTGTCGTCGCCACCTGCGAGGGTTAAAAAAAAAAA